CTTTCTGCCTTTAGGGAAAATCCTCCAATGCTGCTCTTTCGTTTCTGCTCTTTGGAGGAAGTTGCTTGCGTGGGTAGTATGTTTTGGTCTACAGCTGTGATCTCATTGTTGTTGTCTGTTGCCTCGTTTTTAGTGCTCTTCTTTTCCACTGGAGTGGGAGCCCTGCAGTACATCATGTCTAAGAAGCGTTTATTGTTGTCCTGGTCACTGAAGTTGCTCTCCATCATGGACGAGGGAGTCCTGCTGCCAAAGTAACGCTCATGTCTACTGTAGCTGCCAAAACAGGAAGTGGACACTTTGTCATCGCAGGCTTCTCCTATTCGCTCCAGAGGAGGGGAACATCGAGAGTCGAGGGAGAAACGGGAGGGGGAGTTTGACCTCATCTGAAGCTTGGCTGAGAGAGACCAGGAGGGCCGTATGCCACTGTCGCTGAAGGCTAAAGGGCTGGCTATCGACGACCTGGAGGATAAGCTCTGACGCTGAATGCTCCTCACAAAAGGACGCACAGAGAATCCTCCTGAAAGCAGACAACATTGAAGAGAGGCTATTACTTTTTAAACAAGAAACATCAATATTTCATGCATCAATACAAGGAAGATAAAGCATATACCAGGCACGGGAAATAAACAAGAAAAAGACAGCAAATGATGACTGAAGGCAGATAACTTGAAACATGAGAAGTCAAATTTTCAGCCTGTTTTTTTCCAAGTCCAATCCCCTAAAATAACAACTGAAAGTCATTTGCCATCTACATCCGGTTATAAGCACCTCGTGGAATATCAAAACTTTAAATGATGTGTGTGTGGGAATTTGTGTTTGTATCTTTTTTATTTCAATATAAATTACCTAAATTATTCATTCGTTTTGTTATTGGTATTAAGTAAATGTTCAATTGGAGTAAACAGTTTCAATTGGCAACACATTCTGCAGTCAAATACTGTCACACCTGTGAATAGAAACAGATCAAAAACTTTTTCTCACCATCATCCTCACTGCGCTCTCCTGGAAACTCTCCAGACTCGGCTAACGAAGCCAGTGAGGTGCGTCTGGATGAAGCTCCAGAGGCCAAGCTAGCAGGCCTGCTGCCAGGCAGCCGGTTTACCCAGTGGTCACACAGGGACGAGCTTGTGGATCCTGTGTGCAAGACCAGACACCAGTAGATCACTTCAATTTTTCAAAAATACAAAAGAGGCACGTGACCAGGATTGTGAAGCAGACACTGACCAGCAACAGAGCTGTTGGCAGACCAGGAGGGAATGGCAGTTCTCCTCTGATAAAACAGGATGTAGGCTGTCTGCTGACACACGTCATCATCAGGTATCAGGGACACTTCGCTGTCATCAAAGCAGTACCACTGACCATCAACAGAGTTTTTGCAGTAGGCTGTGAGCACAAAGTGAGGATATGAAATTGTTAAAGGAAAAGCACACTAAACCCTGATGGTGTTTAAACTGCTACGGCCATTTTTCATTACCAGTGTAGTGGCCTCCGTGCATATTGCCATGATGGTTGCACACAGCGTACAGGTCATACAGGTAGTCGTCGGGGTTTCTTCCCAAACCATAGGAGCGTCTCCACGGTGACCAGTGGGAGGGTAAACTCCAGCTGCTCTGGCTTCTCTTGACCACATGTGGAGCCATGTCCATCCCCATTAGGGGGAATCTCACCATGTTCTGCATCTTAACTCTCCGGTCGCCCTCCTGGAGATGACCAAAGCACAAACAGATAAATGAAGACAACAATTGTATATTAACCTGAAAATCAAAAAAAAATTCTACAACTATTTTGAACATTTGTCAGCATAAAGGAACAATTAATATAGCATAGAGTGGCATTGTGAGCTATTTTTCTATTTACCAATGAGATGAATTTAAAATCAAAACATCCAATATAAAGGCCAAATGTAATAGAAACAGGTAGAACACACCATCAAAATGCTAAATGCTGTGATTTTGATCATTAATATGGACTTTGGGAGTTAAATCAGAGATATACCTGTCTGAACCTCTTGAGATGCAGGATAAGCACATCCGGCAGCGTCCACAGGCTGAGCTTTATGCGACCCTGCTGCAGCTGCTTGCAGTGGGGACAGCGCCAAGCATCGTCTGGGGCCAGCTGAAACACACACATGCATGTCTGTTTATACATTCCTGTGGGGATTCTTCAACCCAGCCGACTATTCCAAGTTCAGTCATCCCAAAATGCCTTACCCTTAGATCTGCAATGACAAAATTCTAAACCTAACTCCATATCAAAGTCTTAACTATAAAAAAAATTAATAAAAATGAACATATGGCATCCATTAAGATCGTAATTTGATCCCCTCGTTGACAGAAATCCCCGTAAATTAGCGGACTATCAGGTTTTGTGTTCTTGCCACGAAGACACAGCACCCAAGGCTCAAATAGCTGCAATGACGAACAAGTTCCAACCACACAGCTTATAAAATAATC